GGCGAGTGCTGGGTGAGCAAACTGCTTGTGGCAGCTGAGGAACGTAGACAATTTAGCAGTATTTGGAGCAGGAATGCCCAGAGTTGATAGGAGTGATGGAAAATCCCCAAATCCTACAGGTGAGTGCCTTGGCCAGTGGAGATTTGGTGTAGCTGGGGCTGTTTGGGTTACCTTTAGGACTCTGCGGGGACAGCTTGTTGCCCAGCATCCCTCTGGTCCTGGTTGGAACGTTTTTGGAGTCAGGCTGGTGGATTCTTGCTCCTGCTGTGAGTCTCCTGCACCATGGCAGTCCCAGCAAGAATGAGATCCTTAGGATGTAGGGTTTTTTCCATTACATATAGGAATCAAAACTCTGTGCAGCAGTGGAGAGCCTGACCAGCTGGTCTGGTCTGTGCTGGGGGTCCTGCAGGTCAGTGGCAGCTAAGGACCCCCTGGCTCAGCATGTCCCACTCTCTGGCACCAGCTGTGATCCCCAGAGCAGAGTGTTAGAGATTATCTGGCTCAAAATTGCAAATCGCTCTCCCGATTGCTTATTGATGAGGTATTTTTAATCAGCAAATGTTAGAGAAGAAAAGAGCTGAAATATGCTTTGGAAAACTCATAATTGAAAGTGTGTTTTTAAACAGCTAATAAAATGTTTATGAGGGGAGCTGTGTAATAAGGCCTTTTAAACCTCTCTAATGGCAGCTGCAGGGCCAGCAGCATTCCTGAGGCAGGTGCAGGAGGGCGTTGGGGGCATTATTTCCAGTCTTGACAGGAGAGCGAGCAATTTAATTACAGACGGCTATAAAATGGAAAATTCTTCGCAGTGACAAATGACTGTTGCTATACAAGGAGAGCAGGAGTTGGTGTATGGTTTGTTTACCACATGATGACAGGGAGATGCTCACAAGGACCAGACAGTGGCTCCAAAGCAGCCAGGATAGTGGGCACAAAGGGGGGAAGAGTTGCTGCTGGAATTGTCAGGCCTTTGCTGTCACTGCAGTCTGGTCTCGCTTCAGTAATCCAGGTGGATAAAGGCTGCCAAGGAGCTGACAGGTACAGGAGAATCAGATACCCTAGGGGAGCAAAATCAAACCCACACGTGGATTTTAATTTGGTTGCTGGTGTTTAAATAAAAGATGAAGGGGCTCACCACTGCCCTCGTGTCCTTGTCACCGCCTCCAGCTGCCCAGGGAGAGCCCTGCTGTGCCCGTGCAGTGGTGCTGCCAGGGAGGTCAGGCCCTTGCTCTGCTGCAGAGGCTCCCTCAGCTTCAGCTCAGCACAGCTGGGAGTGTTCAGAGTGGGACATACCTGCTTTCACCAGAGACAGCAGTTGATTTGCAAAGCTTCCCAAGCATCAAAAGCCATAGATGGATTCACAGGAGTATGAGGAAATCCATTATTTCTTCCTGGGGTAGCTCAGCTTCCCCCTTTGCATGACCTGGGCCTGCTCTTTTAAGTGATGCTCATGTGGAATTTTTTTTAAGTGCAAAAAATAAGAGAGTTCTAAAGTCGTAGCTTCTGTAGGTTCCTCACACTGCAGTGTCACAGTTGCCTGGGCAACCAGGGTTCCCAATTGCTTAACAGGGAAAAAAAAGCTACAGTGATGGAGATGCAGACGTAAGAAGGAAGGTCTGTGCTGGAGCCTGGTGCTTGCAAAGAGCAGTCTGGGATGGGGTGGCCTCAGTGAGGGGCCACCCCCAGCTTTGGGCTGCCCTCTGCCAGCAGAACAGAGCTCGAGGGGCATGCCTGGCCTCTCTCTGAGGAAGTGGGAAAGCAGAAATGCAGGTAACTTCAGGGATTCTTCTGCTGTGGAGAAACAGGATCAGTATTTCATGAGGCAGGTTAAGTGTGTGTCCTTCAGGATCTTGGCAAGCACCTTGACTGTCAGCCCAGGTGCCAGCAGCAGATGTGACCCCTTGCCATGTCCTTCCCAGTGGAGGTGGGTCAGGTGCCCTGCAGCTGCCCCAGGCCTCTGCCTTACTGAAATTTCAGATGTCAAAGGAAAGATGATTGGGCATTTGTATGAATTTCTTTTATCAGAATTCAATTTGCAGTTACTGTGTTGTTTAGTTTTAGGGTCCCCTCTGTCTTTTTCAGTGCTACCATTATATGCCCATTCTGTTGGAAAATTGCAAAGACTTGGGTATGGGAAAAGGTGTCTTGTGTGGTTATATGTTATTTTAAAGCATCTGGTTTTGCATTCATGAGATCCATGGTGATAGTGCTGACAGAAACTCCTGTTTTAGAAAAACATCCTGGGTGTCAGTGGGTGTCTTTTGATGTGCCAGGGCAGGTCAGTGAGCACAGTCCAGTGACTCAGGGTTGGCTGTCACTGTGGACTTTCTGGTGACTGACGGGAAATCCTGGCACCTGATGTGGGCAGGATGATTTGCAGAAAATAATCTGCCAGGAGGCGGTGCCAGGAGCGGCGTGTGCCCGGGGTGCCAGTGCCATCCACACTGGGGAGAGCCACGAAGGCACGGGCTCCTGTCCCTGTCCCTGAGCAGCGCTCGGCTCTGCCCTGGGGCCAGGGCTGCTCTTGCCCCCAGGCACACTGCCAGTCCCCCCAGAGCCTGGGAGGGTTCTGCACCCTCCTGTACCTGCAGAGAGTGGGGCAGGGAGCTCAGAGGAGAGCAAAGAGGGCTCCAGTTAGTCCCACCCAGTTCATTATTAGGCCAGAGCAGCTCAGCCTGGAGATCTGCCTTCCCAAGTGAGCTCTGGTGAATTGCATCCCAGAATAGGTTTTGAAGGATGAGCAGTGCCTCCAGCCCATCTGCTGCTCCAGCCTCCCCAGCAGCTCCCCTTGCAGAGCCCTGACGGAGCCCTGGGAGGAGATGCAGGCCCAGCAAGGGGCTGGCACCCAGTCAAGGGCTGGGACTGCTGGCACTGAGGGAGGCAGAGCCCACAGGGCTGGCCTTGGAGCAGTGCCATGTCCCAAAGCCTGTGGTGTGCCTGCAGGGTGACATAGTGAACTCCCTGGCTCTCTTGGCTGGGAGCCTCATCCTGGTGCTTGCTAAGGGTTTGCCTGCCTTCCCAGTAATTAAAAGTTTGTAACTAATTACCAGCTGCCCTGCTCATACTTTGTAGTGGTGCTTTCCCCCAGTGCTGGGAGTCTCCTCTCGCAGCAGGGAGTGAAGCCAAATCTGCTTGAATATGCGTGTGCTGTGCCTGCTGCAGTGCTGCTCCTCCTGAGAGCTGCTGCTGCTCTGTCCTCTCGTGCCCTGCGTGAGAGCAGCTTTGGGGAGATGCTGCAGAGAGGGACTGGGCTCGTGTTTCACAGCAGGTTTAGCTCAGCCTTCCTTCTACTTGCCTCTTTCCTGATGACACAGTGAGGGGAAGGCATTCAGACAAGTTGCCTGCAAGTCTTAATGTGTGTTCAAACCTGATCCAGGAGCGTGCACCTTCCTCCTCACCTGCCCTCTGTCCCTCTCTGTCTCACCCACACCCTTTGCAAGGCACTCAGAGCACACACAGCATGTGACTTTTCTGGGTCAGGCAGAATGCTTTGGCTGCTCTTGATAGGAAACAGACTTTAAAACTAGCCTGTGGCTTTGGGCCTCAGCCACGTGGGAATCTCTGGGCTACAGGTCAGGGCTGGTGCAGTGCCAGGATTCCAGGAGTCCCCCTCCTTCCTTCCTGGCTGTCCCCATGGCTGCCTCCCTGCAGGGGGCTGCTGGGCTTGCCCAGGACAGAGCTGTGGGATCATTGCTCTACCTGCTGCCTGGTTTGGCTTGAAAAGCAACAGGAGAGGAAGAACTGCCCCTTTGCATGAAAACCCTCTGCTTTGAGGAGCTTTTAGCTGATCTGGAGGGAGAGGAACTGTCTCCATTGGCACACCTGCAGTGGTTGTGCCCTGCTAACACACATTGTTTGGCTCTTTTAAAAATACTTCCTTTGTTGTTATTACTGGGACAAAGGTAGAGCTGCCCCAATCTGTGTTGCCTTAGGCTGCATTAAAGGCTGGCTGGGCTGGCTTTAAGGTCCTTGCCAGCAAACCTGTGAGCTACAACACGAGCAGAACTACTGAAAGGTGTGAGGTCAGGCTCTGATTGTACTCATCCTGGAGAACCTGAGAGAGAAATAAAGAGATGTGTTAAGAAGACCATGAGCCTGGTCCTCTGCCATGTGTGGGGTTTGCTTTTGAGCTCAGTGCTTGCCAGCAGTGAGGGAATAGGAGCATCCGTGTGGGCTCTGTGTGGCTGGTATTTTCAGAAGTGTGTGTGGGATTCAAATTCCCAGTGGTGAAGCTTCAGAAAATGGAGTCTGTATGTGGTTTTAGAGATTTCACTTAATTTTGTCTCTTATGCATATAGTAAGTGTGGCCCTGGGCTGGGAGACCATGTCTCTGACTGTTCAGTACTACACTGGCTTAAAAGCTCACAGAAGAGGCCTTGGAATAGTTGATCCCCCTTGGGGGCTGTGCTTTGTGTTTCCCTGCAGTAGTGCTGGGCAGAGTGGGACATTGCTCTGTGCTGTGCTGACTGCTGCAGCAGCTCCCCTGACCTTACCAATGGATGTGGTGATTCCCAGCACCAAGGGGGCATTAGCAGGAGAGGACAGCAAACACCCTTCCTTCCTGTTTGACCTCGGATTTCCCCATGATGCAGGGCTTGTTGGTTCTGCCATCCACCATCTCCTCCAGGTCAGGAGCTCTTGGTGTAGTGTGTGTTGCTCAGAAGCTCACCAGTACTTAGGCTTTTTCTTTCCTTCTAAGCATTTCCATTTTGAGGGGTTACCAGTTTTCCCTCAGAAAGCCGAAGGCCTTCAACTAGAGCAATACTTTATGTGCCAGCTCTTGTCCTTCCCTTTCTGCCTGAATTTGCCTGAATGTGGTTTTAGAGATTTAGGGAATCTCTAAAACCACTTACAGTGGTGTCAATATAGCTGAACACATTTTACACCAGCATAACTGGCAGTGTAAAATAATGAGCTGTGGACATGGGAGTGACCAGATTAGTGTAGGTTATTCTTGTCTTTGTTCTCATTATATTTCTTTTTCTTTTCTCCGACCTCAGACTTTGAAGAGGAAGGAGAAGGAGTACGAGCACGAGATGGAGCGGCTGGCGAGGGAGAAGATCGCGACCCAGCAGCGGCTGGCAGAGCTGAAGAACGAGCTGAGCCAGTGGATGGATGTTCTGGAGATTGACAGGATTATTCGACAGACAGTTCAGCCAGAGGATGACCAGGCATCTACCTCGACAGCATCAGGTACCCATCATTGTTCTCCTTTTTTCATAATCGTCTTGGAAGGTCATTGGAGTGGTGGGGCTCTTCATTTAGCAGCATCAGGGTTTCTTTGCATTCAGAATAAGGTAAAAGGTTTTGGAGTTTTTGTAATTATGTTAACAGCACATTGCTGCTCATGTGAAGTATACTGAAGCTTGTGCATTAGTGTCAGGTAGATGCAAAGTGCAGGTTTGCATGTCCGACCTGATTGTGGAGATAAATCCCTGCTTTCCAAACTTAGCATTTTTCTTGCACAGCTCTGCAGCCCTGCTCATGAGAAGTGGGCATCCTGGTGTGTTTGTGTGCATGTGGGAGGGTGTTCAGCACATACAGAAGACGGATTTGGTACAGGGAGGATCACCAGAGCATTTGGACAACGCAACGAGCCTTCTCATTGTGTGAGGAGGAGTCACAGTGAAGATGAAATTGCAGTAATGGATATCTGACGTGCAGTTCCAGTGAGAAGCTCCTGTGAGATAGGAGAATGCATGCTTCTCTCGACGCCAGGGATCTGCAGCAGGAGGAGCAGGCAGTCTGTGCATGTAGAGCTTTGCAGAGGCAGGAGGTGTAGCAGTGCACAACCATTCACAGCAGTTCCTTCCAGTCAGCATTTGCTCTTGGCGTGCCAGGCAGATGACATGGCAGGTTCTGGGAAGGGAAAACCTGAGTTTGCTCAGGCTCATCACCTCTAATGGTAGGAGCAGGCTCCAGGTGTAGTCTGATGGAAGCTGGGAGTTGCAGTGCTTTGTCCTTACAAGTGGCAGCTGTTCCCTCTGCAGTGGCCTCTGCTGAAAGCAACCACATCAAGCTGTTGCTTCCCGGAGCTTGTGAAGGGGAAGTGTCTTCCTGCTGTCTTCTGTGTTCCTGCCGCTTCTCTGTCTCCTGAGATTTTTATTCTTTGCTGCATGGCTGGCACTTGAACAGGCAGTGCAGGGTGCCAGGCTTGTCTTCCTGATCTCAGGGTTGGTATATTCGTGTTTTTCTTCCTTAGTTCCTGGTCTGGACACGAGTCCATTTTCCAGAACCAGAGGAGAGACTTGCTGCCATGTTTCTTCATGGCAATTTCCTTCCTGCTCTGGGAGCAGGAGTGGTGCCAATCAGTGGAACACCTGGCCAGGAAAGGAAACCCTGTTCCCCTTCCCAGAAGGAGCCCCCTTCAGCCCAGACAGCTCAGCCAGGTGCTTTCTGTCAGCCTCTGCTCATGGTGCTCCTCTTGCCTGCCCAGTGAGACTTCTCAGCCTGTTGGGGGCACCTTGCTCTAGCTGGTTTTTTGAGCTGTCACACTTGCCTGGCTCTGGGTCCTTGTCCCACAGGCAGTGAGGAGAGGGCTGTGCCATGCCATGCTGTGCCATGCCATTGTGCCACCAGCCTGTAGCTCAGTGATGCCCCCTGCACATCTCTTCTGCTGATGCTGCCTTGTAGGGAAGCTCCTTGGTCCAGTTCGTGCCCTGCTTGCGTTTTTATGGGAGTTTCTTCCTTTCGTGTTTTCCAGAGGGTGAAGACAACATGGATGAAGATATGGAAGATGACAGGCCAGTGAACTCATTACCAAAACTCACCCAGCGCCAGCACCCAGAGCTGCTGAAAGCCGTCCCCCCCAGTGCTGCTGCCCCCCTGCCCACGGTCCTGCCCCCACACGTGTCCATCCAGCAGAAGCCCCACGCCCAGCCCTCCCTGCAGACACAAGCCCTGGTCCCGCCGCAGGCCATCGTCCCTGCACAGACTCACATCGTGGCGGCCTCGACCGTGCAATCGACTGTTATCGCGCACACCGCCACCACCCACGCCTCGGTCATCCAGACTGTCAACCACGTCATCCAGGGGCCACAGACCAAGCACATTGCCCACATTGCACCTTCCACGTCCAGCCCCGTGCAACTCACCACCGCTGCTCAGCCCATCGGCCACATCACTGTGCACCCCGCCACCATCAACCACATGGCCCACCTGGGCCCGCAGCTGCCCATCTACCCGCAGCCCGTGGCCGTCAGCCAGCCCGTGGTGAGCCACATCGCTCACACCATCTCGCACCAGCAGGTGAACGGCACGGCGGGCCTGGGCCAGCCGGCCGTGGTGGCCAAGCCGGCCGTGGGCGCGCAGGTGGTGCACCACCCGCAGCTGGTGGGGCAGACCGTGCTCAACCCCGTGACTATGGTGACCATGCCCTCGTTCCCCGTGAGCACGCTCAAGCTGGCCTAGAGGGCACGCGCCGCCCGCTCTGTGCTGGGAACCCTTCCTGAGGAAACTCCGTACATTCCAAGCGCTGCGGCTCGGCGCGGCGGGCGCGCAACGCCGGGCTGGCCGGGGCCGCGCCCTGACACACTTCAGAGACACTTGGTCATGGTGATTTTTTTTCCTTTTATGTGTAATGAGTGAACTATGGATATGATGTTCTTAAGACTTTTAATTTCGCCCTCCTTATGTGTTGCTTCTTTGTAGAATAAAAATTGCTGATCTCTTTATCGAGACATTGCGTAGAATGGGAAAAAAAATCATAGAAGTCTATATTTATATATATGTGTGTATGTGTGTGTATATATATATGTATATACATATATATATAAATATAACATTTGAAGGCCTTTTGTAAGGTTGATTATTTTGCAGGATTATGAGACAAAATTCATTTTTGGAGGAAGAAGCCAGAGTGTCCTCTCTAAACAAGAAACTATAAGATAGATGGTTTGGTGGACCAGAGTACAGTGACAAAAAGCCCCCAACAACAAACCACGAGTCAAACCATGTTAAAGGTATTTCCCATCAATATATTACATTTCAAAAACCATCTAAAATCACTGTGACTTGTTATGGCATTTTAAGGAAATTCTCTGTCCTGTCTAATAAAAGGAAAAAGAATACACAACCAGACTTGATTTGTTGCCATTTTATAAATTACTTGATTTTATGTCAAAAAAATACTGGTTTTTATTATTTTAATGATTGACAATGCTTTGTTTGGATGTTTTTGGGGGAATTTGTATTTTGTCTGGCTTGGTTTGCTGATGCAATAATTGGTTTTGCAGATCTCTGTGCATGGCATGGCCCTGGTCAGGTCCCTCCTGCTGGTCCAAGCTCCCCCAGGCTTCTTGGGTTTGTTGTTTGGCAGAGGCACACACTTTGTGCTGGCAGCTGGCAGGGCGTTTCTGTGGCCTGGTGAGCGGAGCCTGGGACAAGAAGACGTAGAGAAATGAGGTAGATTTGCTGCATGGGTTAATGTGTGTTAGTTTGCTCTGTCCTGACCACGCTTTGGGGCGGGAGCCGGTGGGTTTGGAAAGGGGTGAAAGGGGATGTGGTTCCCTTCCAGAGCGCAGGCAGTCCTAGCAGCTGTGTTCCCTTTGACAGGGGAGCAATCTCTCCTCACGCAGGACAGGGCTTTGCTGCAGGAGGTCGGTGTGAGAGCTGTGTGTGACAGTGAGGCGTGCACCAAAGAACCCTCATCCCTCAGGGCCCTCCCGTTCCCCTTCCTTGTGGTTGGGCAGGCCTGTCTGAGGGCAGTGGCACATCCCAGAGAGCCAGGAGAGCAGGAATGCTGTTTGGCTCTGCTGGAACCTGCCGGCTGCCCGGGAGGCTGCTCGCTGGATGTTCTGGTCCTTGCACAGGGCGTGTAGCTGCTGCTGTGAATGATCTCCATTCTGTCTTCCTCTCTTCTTAAAACAAGAATTCCACAGTCCTTACTGCGAGCAAAATGCTGCTGTAGGCAGCAGCTGTTCTGCCAGGGCAGGGTGGGAGGATGGTCCCATGTGTGCCCAGGAGCTCTGGGAGAGGAGGAGGAGGTGGCTGAGCTGAGTCCAGTGTGGGGCCGAGGTCTCCTGCAGGAAAACAGCATCCATGCTCTGCCCAAAAGACCTGCTGGCTCTAGCAGGACTTCAGCCTGCTGAGGGCTGGTGTGAGCAGTGTCAGGGATGTAACTGAGAACATCTGCCTGCTCCATACTGTCCCCAGTTAAAACTGGTCTGAGGCAGGAGAAGTGACTGCAGAGGTCAGGGGTGATTGTGCCTTCTGAGCAGGTGTCACTGGGAATTGTGTGAAGTCTGTTCATAAAGCCCAAGTTACCACTTGTTTTATTTTTCTTTCGTGCGTTCTTGAGTTCAGGAAGGTCTTGGCTGTGCTTGCCAGCACAGCTCCTGCAGAATGGACAAACCTTGAAGGATTTCTTTTCATAGAACCCCATTTAAGCAGATCATTTGTTCTCATTCCAGTGCATCATTAACACTGCGGGATTCCCAGAATTGCCAGGACTTTGTTGTCCTCTGTCCCTGCAGATGGCCCAAGGAGGCCATTGTGTGCCAGTATTTGAGAGCCAGGGTGGGTATGGCTCAGTTTCTCCTCATCAGAAACTCCTCAGCGCTGACTGTGTGCAGCAGGGTCACCTCCCTTCTCAGGAGGGAGGGCGGCTTTGCCTTCTGCAGCAGCCTCAGGAAGGGGAGGACGTGTGCTTCTGCCTTGTTTTACTGCTCCACTCACAAAGTCACAAATTCTCCTCACTGAAGGAGAAGGAGCCAGGTTGGGAACGGGCTTGGTGAGATGAGCTTGCTGCTGGGTTGCTGAATGGGCTGTGCTGTGTGGACAGGGTGCTGCTGAGCTCATCTTCTCCTCCCTTATGGTTTAGAGCAGAGTGCCCTGCCTTGCCCAGGACTATCTTGGCCAGTTTCTCTTTCCCCCTGGAAGTGTGCCATGCAGTCTGTCTGTCTGCTCCCCTTCATGGGTGTTTGTCCCCATTAGGAGCACCCCCTTGGTCTGCCCAGGGGCTGCTCCAGATGTCCTGTGTACCCCTGCTCCCATCTGCCGTTTTCAGGGCTACCAGAAGCATTCTTTGGGATTTTTCTTTTTGTTTTTCAAAGTCAGCAAACTTCTCTCTATTCTGTGGGAAGAAGAGTGGCCACAGCCCTTCCTTTTCCACCTCTGTTGTTCCTGCTCAGAAACTTTGGATTTACACTGATGCTCTTAGAAATCCCGTTCAGTACTGTATGACAAGGGGCACTTTAGGAATGTCTCTCCTCCTTTGATATATGTTTTCCCTATGGAGAAAGCTATATATAAATATATATGTACACTTGGGGATTCATAAGATCTCATTTGTCCCCCAAAAAACCAATAAATATGAAGTTTACAAGAAATCTCTTCTGTTGTTGAATAATATTGGTAACCATGCCACAGAAACAATAGGAAATGGGGTTTCTGCACAGTAGTTTGAGAGGGTTTTCTGTGCTGTCAGCCCTGGCTTGGAGCTGTTGGTCAGTGGAGATGGTTCTGCCGAGGGCAGGTGCCCTTGCAGCCCCCACTCTCCACGTCCTGCTGCCAACAGCCCAGCTGTGCTCGGGAGCTGGGGCTGTGCTCGGAGCTCGGGCAGCACGGCCGGGGCTGTTTGCAGCTGGGCAGATGTGTGGGCACTGTGGGCACAGAGCCCCGGGCTGGCCACGGGGAGCCTCGTGCTGGGCTGTGCCCACGCCTGCCAGGGCCACTGCCAGCCCAGCCTCAGGGAGGGGCAGGCAGAGGGCAAAGAACCCCAACTGCTACTTCAAAACCATCCTGAAAAGAGCTCTTGACGCTGACACTTTAGGTACAGGAATGTAATCCAGACCTCACCAGTAACAATTTGCTAGATCTGTGTAGCTGGTCTTGGGAAGGGAAGTGATCTGATCTCCCGTGGTCTCTGCAGTTGCTTGTGTGGGATCCCTGGGGGCACAGTGGGGGCAGCTGCTGACCCATATTCCACATGGGAAATAAGGGCTGGAGCCAAGCTGCTGCCATCGGGGTTTTTCTGCATGTGTGTGTGTGTGTGTCCATCTGTCTGTCCTGCTGGAGCCGAGTGTTGGGTGTCGAAGGCCAGAAGGGCTCCAGTGTCCCCTGGCCCCTGGCACGGCTGGGTTTTGGTTTCTTGAGCAGAGCTGGACAGAGGGGATGGCCCTTTGCAGAGGCCTCTGCTCTCCAAGTGCCCAGGGCACATCCAGACCCACTGAGCCCACTGCTGTGCTGCTCTTGGGCTCCTTGTCTTTTTTTTTCCTTTTTTATTTCAAAGTGGCCTTCTGTAACAAAAGAAACAAAAAAAATGCCTTGGGTGGTTTCGGTGGAGGTGAGGTGTCGCTGCTGTGTCGGTGTCGGTGTGGTTGTCCGTGCGCACGCCTGGTAGATTCCTGTAGACATGCAATGCAAGGCTTATCGTGTCTGGTTTTTGTATGTAGCCTGTGTCTCTTTGGACTGGTTTGCATCCTGAGGGTGTTTTTTGCATTTAAAGAAAAAACAGTGAGAACTGTTCCAGGTTGGGTGGGTCCAAGGGGCTCAGGGGACCTCCCGTGTGCCAGGGTCAGGGGAGGGTTCCTCCTGCCCCGTGGGATGATGTGGTCAGTGCTTGTGGCCCCTCTCCTTTGTGATGGCTGTCCAGTGTCCCCACTGTGCCAGGGGGGTGAGCAGCCTTGGCCAGATGAACCAGGTGACCTCTGCTTACCTGAGCAGGACTTTGGCTCAGCCTGTCTCGGTTCAGGCACTTGCTTAATTAGCTTAATTAGATATGTGGCTGCTGCAGAGGGCTCCTGGAGCTGGTGTGGAGGTGGGCAGCTCTGAGCACTCACAGGTGAGGCTCCTCTGAGACTTGGCATGTTTTTTTCTGAACAGTTGTGCATTCCGGTCTTACTTTGATTCTAAAAGCTATGGGGGTGAGGAAAGGAAAACCCTCATACTTCTGGCCTGTTTTCCGTCCCTTGTTATCATTTGGAACAGATTAAAATGGATTATAACACTGTCTTTAGGTTATTTTCTCCCTGAGTGAAACATCAGTTGTTAGGAGCAGATGTTTAGTGTTAAGGAAAATAGGCTGTGGGTAGAATCAGTCATGGCTTCTTTCTGTCCCTGTTATACAGAACTTGATAATCCAAACTTGAACTATTAAAATAGCAGCCTGAGCCCAGCACTGGATGGTGCAGTCCTGGCAGAGTTGTGTTTGGCTGTTCCCAGGCTGGCTCGCTCCTCACCTGAGGCTGCTGAGCAGTGCAGGAAGGCCCCACTCGCCTCTGTCCCTGCACTGTCGGGGCAGGCTCAGGGGTTTCGGGGTGGGGTTTGGTGGGAGTGGGCTGTGGGATGTCACGGTGCTCCTCGGGACGGCGTGGCTGGTTCTGCTCTAGCTCTGGATGAGGCCCCTTCATTCAGCCATCCCTTGTGCTGTGAATAGGAATTTGAGTGTGAGGGAGCGCTGGTGCAGCAGTCACCAGCAGGGACCTGCCCAAGCCCCAGCCCTGTGCCAGGCAGGAGGCAGGAGCTGCCCAGGCTGTGCTGCTGTGGCCGGCCCAGCCCCTCTGGAATGCCTTATGGATACGCCTTAACACCCTGAGCCAAAACGTGCTGGGGCTGGGCAGGGGCTGCCTGCGCCCACCCGGTGCTTTACTGGCGTCTGCTCAGGCCCAGCCTGGGCATCGCTGGGTGAGGAGCCCTGCTGGCAGTGGGGACCCCCTGCTCTGTCACTGCACGTGACCCCCCCTCCTGCCTGAAGCATTTATTTATTTATTTTATCTGGCTGTGCTCCCCGCGTTAGGAATGTGTCCTGGAGCTGCTGACTGTGAGCCCAGCCCGTCGCTGGCCTGGAGCCCCTGTCCCTCCCCTGCACCTCACAGGAGCCCCACGCTCACCTGGGCAGGTGCAGTCTGTGTTTACAGTGAGGACGTGTCACTGTGTTACCAATTTACTGAAATACTGAATATTGACAAACTAGACTGTAAAGATTTTTATGTGTTTGGATACATCTGCTATGTGAAAAAGCAACTAATTTTGTACATATTGTATTTTTACTATTCAGCTGTACAATACTGGCTCTTCATGCTCCAGAATTTAGGTATCCAACATGAATGATATCCATGTAATAAGCACTTGCCTGAAATAAATATAAAAATGAAATAAACATGCACTGAAATCCGAAACAGGTTTCTGCATTTGCTTCCCTGTGCTTTGCATGCAGATCCCTCACTCTGTTTGTGATTTCCCAGTTCTAGAGCAATGCCTGCCCTCCCTCCGCGGGGCTGGAGCTCACCCAGGCCAGGCAGAGCTTCCCGAGTGTGTGTCTGCATCCAGCAGTGCTCTGCAGGACAGCAAAGCCTTTGCAGCACCAGGAATCTGTGAGCTCAGGAAACTGCCCTTGCTGTGCCTTCTCCTGCAGGAGCCCACCCCTCCCAGCAGCCCCACCGAGCCCAGCAGAGCAGCCTGCTGCCCGGGACCCTCCTGCTGGGACTCCCCAGCCCTGCCAGGCAGCCCCACCGGGGTGTCCTTGCAGTGCCAGGGGCTGGGGCTGAGCCCAGAGCTGCCTCCCCTGGACCTCTCTCTCCTGCAGCCCCAGGTTCCCCCTCTCCCTTCTCTGCAGCAGTGACCGACGTGGATGATCAGCACTGGGCAAGTCAAACCCCAGGGTGGTGCTGGGGGCAGCAGGTCAGGGGTGGCTCAGGCAGAGGGGCTGGGGGAGCACCACGGCTCTAAATAACTGCACTGAAAATCACTGAGACTGCAGAGGAGATGGGGGGACGTGTGGGAAGGACAGAGGGACAGGAGCCAGCTGTAACCCCAGCTGTGGTGCTCAGAGCCCTGCCTGCCCCAGTCCCACTGTGCAGACAGGTGAGTGCAGCGAAGGACAGAGGGACAGGAGCCAGCTGTAACCCCTGCTGTGGTGCTCAGAGCCCTGCCCGCCCCAGTCCCACTGTGCAGAAGGTGAGTGCAGAGGGCACAGGGACACTGGAAGTTTATTTAGGCCAACATGTCCTTGGAGGCACTTCAGAAAGGGCTGATCCCTGTTGATGGGGATAATTAATTACCTGATTAGCTGGAACGAGCAGGGGCTGAGGGGTGGCTGCACCCACCCCAGCACACAGAGGCCTTCGTTGGGCCTTTTTATGGTGGAATGGGGAAATCTGCCACAAGTCCCCAGGGACTCCTCCAGGCAGACCTATTTAGCCTAAAAGCCTGGAACACTGCTGCAAAAACTGCCAGGAGCAGCCAAGCAGCCAGGTGAGACTGAGGGACCATCCCTGCTGCAGAGGAGACACAGCTGGAGGAGTTTAAGGGGTTTGAACAAGGACTGGGAGTGATGGAGGAGGAGCTCTCCTGGAAGTCCAGCAGCTCAGCTGGATTCAATGCAGCTGCAGCACAATCAGGCCTAAAATTTCAGGATGAAACTCTTACACTTGTGATAAGCCTATTTCTGTTCCTGGGCTGGGCTGGCTCAGGCTCAGCTGGTGGGTACATGAAAACTGCCCTTAAAGTAATTTAAGGGACCTCGGGAGTCTACTTAATGGTGACCTATTTATTGCCTTTAGCACTGCAGCCCGTGCAGCTCATCAGAGAAACATTAATTACATCTTGCCCTGTCCTCCCAGACACCCTCATCCCTGTTCCATGGCTGGAATCACCTCGGGGGGAGAGAAATCGCTCCCAAAGAGCTCCATGGGATGCCTTGATGATAAGTATTTATTCATAAGTTACATTTAAACATAAATAATTGAGCAATAAAGAGAATAGTCTGCTCTCAACAAAAATAAATAATACACAACATTGATAAAATCCAATCAGACAGAATGTTCTAACAAATACAGCAAAGTTCACAGATTGGGTTTGTGTGAAACAGCTGTACAGAACATTCCCAACATACCAAAGGAAAATAGTGCAGTATTATCTGTATATCCATCACTCCCTGGGCTCTGGGAGCTGGAGGTTTTTCTCACTCTTCTCATTCTTTTAAAAAATACTTTTCCAGTTTTCAAGTGAACAGACAGACAGACAGGGCTGGGCACAGACTGTCCTGGGGCACAGGGAGGGCTCCAGACCCGAGCTGGGGCTGCAGCAGCAGCTCAGAGCCCCCAGCAACTGCAGCTCCTTCACCTGGCAGGGGCTGGTCCTGCTCACCAGAGCCTGGTTTGTGCTGTGGGACCCCTGACAGCTCTGCAGGGCAGGGAGGAGCAGCAGTTGGGGGTCTGGGGAGCTGGGCACTGCCACCTGCCCTCCATGGGATGTGAATCCACGGCCCTGCACAGCCCAGGAGAGGAGCTGCCAGCGTGAGCAGGGCCCTGTCTTGGGCTGAACCTGCTCACCTGAGTGACACAGGGCAGGGCCTGGCAGCTGGCAGTGACACAGGGCCAGTCTGCAAAGCAAAACAAAGGCAGGTCTGTGTGGGCCATGGAGGCTGAGCAGTGAGAGCCAAGGCCAGACTGGTGTTTTAGCTCACGAGCTCACCACTGCTCCCATGAACTGTGGCATTTAGGTTAAGGCCATTCTCCCAGCCAGAAACCTTATCAGCTTTAATCACTGCTAAATACAAACCCAAATGTTTTAGCAACATGAGCTCAGACACATTCTCTTCCATGTCCAAGGCAAGACAGTGAGGCCAGGACCGTGCTCCTCCAAGGACCCAATCCAGTGGCAGCAGTGGGCCCAGCCTTGCCTCCATGGCAGCTTCTGGCAGAGCACACAAGGTGCATCCAGGCTTTACAGGTGCAGAAAGTCACAATAGAAATGTTGCAGTTTGTCAAATCCCCCCTTTCAACATCTCAAAGATGTAGACAGATGTCTTCTAGAGAGGGAAACAGAGAATGCAAAAAAGATTCTGTCTAGAAATACAAAGTCAGTGTAACAAGGACTATCAAACACCAACCTCATCTGGTGAAGGGAAAGTTCAGGTTGTAAAAGTCTGTTACTGTCTCCTCACTATTTATTACATTACATGGAAGATGCAATTAAAACACCATTTGGAATTACAGTGCAAGGAATGCTCCATCCAGTGGCTCACAGCGAGGCCCAGGGCAGCCTGCCCACGGTCACTTGTTCTCAATCAGTGTCTGCACTTTGTAGACAAGGTCTCTGGCTATCCTCAGGATCTCTGCAGCATCGTGGTGCTCAGCCATTTCTAAGAGACACAGACAAACATCTTAACTGTCAGCACCACCTTCCTGCCCTGGCAGGATATTCATGTAGCATTAGCAATAATTAATTACTGTAACAAGCAGCAATCCCAGAACATTCCAGTTTTGGAGAATTAAAGATAGAAGAATTAAATTCAGAATTCATTCAGGATGAATCCCTTGTGCTGCAGGACCTGGCATTGAGACTCAGAGGTTAAAATGATCATGGGTTTGTCACAACAAGAACTGCACCAGACAGTCTCAGGAAAGGAGAAGGAGCAAAGTCTTGTTACTTTTGATCAAAATGGCTCTTACCATTAAAAAACTTGATGATATCAGTGAAGTCCATGTTGTTATCACGGATAATCTCTCGATAAACTTCCACAAGTGCTAAGGCAATGAAAAGGACAAAATGTTCTGAAGAGATGTGCTTTGCTGCCCAAATAACTTCCCACACTGTAAATACATCCTCGTACAACAATTCTGAATGGGAATAAACATTACAAGAGCATCTGATTATTCAACTGACCATGTTCCTCCTCTCTCACCAATGTCTACAGCCACGAACAGACCCTGAGGACTCCTCCCTCTCCTCTCCCCCTCTCCTTCAGCCAGCTCCTGTCACTTGTGCACGTGAGGCACAGAACTAAAGAACAGTTTCCCCAGCCTGGAGGTGGTGCAGGGCCAAGCCCAGGAGGGTGCCTGAACCATGGGGACCATGTGAGAGCAGCACAGGAGGCCTGGGTGTTCTACAGGGCCCCATGCAGGTCTGACCCTGTGTCCAGGTGTGTCCTGGCTTTGCAGTGGGCCTGTCAGCACCAGCACACTGCTGGAGTGTGCTTGTGCAAGGATCAGGGGTGCTCCCACGCCATAAGGGCACCCCACTCCAATACAGCAGCTCCTGAGCTATTGCTGAGCTGCTCCTCGTTACCACAAGGATGAGACAGGAGGCATCAAAGCTCACAGACGAGTGGGATCCCCTTCTGGAGCAAACAGGCATTTGCACTGGGCAGGAGCTTGGCTTCAATCACATCATCAGGAATTTGCAACTCTCCTTTCCTCATTCCAGTGCTGTTTAATCTCAGAGCTGCCTTTCCTTTACCTTTCCTGGCTACAAACTCTCCAGTGACCCCAGCTGCCCCTCACCATCCTGACAGACACTCACACCAAAACACAGAGCACAGAGCTGTTACAGTTCTACACAGCCCTAAACTACAGGCACAGAACATTATTACCTCTTTTAAAGTCAAGCAGGAACCAGCGATAGCAGAAGTAAAAATGAGTGTAATCTCCATTCTGATGCATCAATTCAAAAAGTTCTGAGTCCAGAATCTGGAATGGAAAACATCAGCTGTCAGGATGTGGTCTGAAAGCAGCCAAGGTCAGAGGGGCTGGACTCCCCCCCTGCTCCTCGTCCCGTGGGCAGAGCAGTGCTCAGCACAGGAACAGCCCTTGCTGTGAGTGGCCTGGGTGCCCTCAGTGCTGAGCTGAGCAGTCACAGTTGGTCTCTGCCATGGCCTTAAAGGGCCAAGGAACCAGGTGAAGATGCTACTGATTTCCAGCAAGTGGCAAATGTCCACCTCCACCTCCCCCCCTGCTCTCAGGCTGTAACTCCACAAATCCACTTAGAGCTCCTCCTCCCCAGCTCTGCAGCCACACCTGAGCCCCACTCCTGGGAGCTCCTACCCTTCACTGTGGCATCAGGCGAGTCCTGAGCCTCTGAGCCTTGTTTCCTTCCAGCTCCCCTTACCCAGACCCACCTGGATGAGGGACCGCATGTTGGCAAAGTGTGTGTCCATAGCACCTCCATTGGGGAAGTTCTGGCTCATCCTCTTCATCAAGTGGCTGAAGCAGCTGTAGGCCAGCTGATCTGCAGGACAAGGCAGACACTCAGTGCTGGCAATTGTGGGACTTCTTGAATCAAAAAAACCAGAACTGCAGGGCTTGGGAAAACCAGGGTCTTCCCCTTTGCTCTTCTCTGAATCCCAGGACTTAGATGAAAGAGAGGTTGGTTCCTGACTCTGGACCATTTTTACTAG